ACAATAGATATTTTTGAAAGCATTCTTACTTTACAGCATTTTTTTCACACCTGCCTAAAACTTTTGTACAGTTCTGTATGCTGTCAAGTTCTCTGCCCAGCTGTGAGGATCGTGTTGTTTTCAGATTTAAAGGAGCAGTAGCCATTCTATACTCAGAAGGACTCCAGCCAGTTGTCAGCTTGTCCAAGCAGAAGGTGTAGAGATTAAGGAAGATGATCTTGACGGAGTCAGTCAGGAACCCCACTGGTAAAAGGGGCTGAAGCATTTTTTAAACGTAGAACAAGATAACGTTCAGAAGCAACTCAGGGAGATACCTCCCTAATTCGAGGAGGAGGAGGAGGAGGAGGAGGAGTCAGTCTTGCTATATTCTGTGGTTATAGCCAGTTTCAATTAGAGTATTCTTAGCCTTCCCCTGGAGTTGATTTCCTGGTCTGGTCTACCTAGTGGGGCTGACAGAAGAGGAGCACAAGGTGGCAGCAATTCATCTGGCTTGCACACCCAAAATTGAATTGGCTGCCAGAATTCCCTCTTCAGGCTGGGGATCTCTTTTGATGGCTTCTGCCTGAGCACTCTGGCCTTTTTCCTGCAAGAAGCAGAAGGGGTGCAACAGTCAGGCTGCTTGGAGCAAGCTGAGCCCAGGGCCCTCGTGATGGCCCCCAGGAAGAAGCTTAGGAAGACTCACCCTTGGAAGAGGGGTAAGGTGAGATTAGACAAGAGCACCCTGATCCTAGCTGGGTTGCCTTGGGAAGTTCTCATGAGTGGGTTAGGGCTGTGAGCCCAGAAGCCACTGAAGGAGAGTCCCAGTGCCTGGATCTGGCACAGGCCTAGTCCAGCGCCAGATGCTCACTAAAGGCTGCCTGCACCCAGACAAAGCAGGAGTGTGTCCTCTCTCGAATTTGCTCATGCTTCCTAGTTTTCTGCACTTACTAATCAAAACTAATGCTCTGTTAGCTCTGCCAGGGATACAGACATGAAGACCCAGGAGAAAAAATTGGGAGTGGGGGGAAGTGGTTTGCAGTATCATGGAGTAGAAGTTTTTAAATGTTTTTCCCCAAGAAATTTTAAAAAATGGATTATGAATTATTTCCTAACATTTTATTTTAAAATAATATATGAACTGCTTCAGAATTTTTTTTTTAAATACATACTGTTACCCATTCATCTCAATACAGGCAAATCTTTAAATAATAGAATTAAAAGAGCAGAAATGCTGAGAGCAATAGTATTTCAGATAACACTGATTAGATCATTTTTCAGGTGACAATATGTGTATTTCAAATCTTATTGTTCCCCCTTCCACTTTTTCCCTGAAAATTAATCCTTTTCATATCTATCCTGAATATGTAACTTTCTTTGTATTAGGTGAATTGATGGTTTCTTATGCTTTCAATAATAACTTTATTAAACAGGAAAAAATGAAGCAGCTTTAGTTCCATTTATAACAAAAATTAAACATGTTAAAGTGAATTCAAAAAATAAACGTACAGTTATTGTTTGAATAAGCTATATTTTTCAATTCTGTACATGAAACATACATTTATGTATTTTATAAAGTAGCAAAATGAGTAAGTATGGAGAGAGAGAGGAAAGGGGCAATGAAGATGTCTAAGTCTAACAAGCTGCCTTTTATTTAATGGATCACAAGTTCTGAAAACATGTCTCATGTGTGCCTTTAGCACTGGTCTAACTGAAAAGGGGAACTGTATTGTTTATAGCAATCCTTTGGAGAGGAATCGACTAGCCCCTGGAAAGAACATCTCAGAGCGATCCAGGGCATAGTCACAGATAATCATCTCTGTAATTTAAAAAAAGTCTGATTGAATCTTTACCTTTGCTCATTCTTTTCTATGTGCAGAACCAAAAGTTCAACTATACTTGGCTGAGGCTGATCCAACATGAAGACTCCTGCGTGGCACTTATTGATGCTGAAGGGACCCTGGGTCTGCACCCTTGCGATAAAAGAAACAATAGCCAGAAATGGTTGCATAAATCACTGGTAGCTTTTCACCCAGAACTCGTAAGTGCAGCTGTTTAGCAAATAACAACCCCTCTGACTGTGGCTAAAGTGGAATGGGTTCAAAACAAAGGGAGCTTGCTACATCATTTCCCTTTGTATGGCCATGACAGACATACAGACACTTGTTATTCAAGTAAGGAAATGACTTAGGCAAGGTTTACTCTTAGCTATCTTTTGTAGGTAGAGAAGTAACACCAGTGATCTATCATCCGCTCCCTCCAAGTGGTCCAGAGCAGTGTATATCATTCTCACTGCACTTAACTCTTCACAATATCCCTAATCTGAACATCGGACAGAAGGTTATGCTTGTTCAGGGTCACCCACTAGTGAACTTTATGGCTTGGCCAGGATTTGAACATGGGTCTCTCTATTGCTAACCTCACACTTTTAACTCCGGTATTAGAAGGAGAAAGTCTGACTGAATGTGTAAGGACTACCAAGCTGGTATCAAACTTCGTAGAATCAAGCCACTGTCAAAAGATAGGGGTTTGGAGCTGTACCTGACAGACAGATATCTTAAGCCCCAAATTCTGTTGTCTGGAGAGGTAATGTGCCAGTTGTGGAATTTCTCCCAGTGCTCCATTTTTTAGTGAAAAGTATAGTAACAAGAATAAATTTGGAAGCCTTTATGCTCATTATGCCCTTTGTTTAATGCTGTCAAATTATATCACTTCTCATTTATTTCAGCCGGTTTCTTTCTGGGCCATGTTCTTAGGATATCCAAATTGGAATATTGTCATTAAAAAAACAAAATTACTGAACAAAAATGTACAGCCCAAACAAGTTAATAAACACTCAAAAGCTAATAAGCAACCATCAGATTTAGACCCTAATCTAATACAGATATAGGTGGGTCACACCGAAAACAGATAAAAGAGGCCTGTGATTTGCGCTAACATTTTGCAGCCCCCCCCAAAAAGGAGGGTCTCACTCATGACTAGTTGACTTTATAGATATATCTGTGCAGCTTTCTTGTCAACAATATATAAGTGATTTGTCATTTCCTTCTTTTTTAATTCCAAAGCCAGAGGAGGGTCATCATTGTACCGACATGATACAAACTCTTCTTTTTTTTCTACATATGTTATGATGTTGCATGCATGTACAAAAGGGGTGATGTGTTGTTATGGTGCAACACTGCTTTCATCATTTTGATGAAAGCACTGGAACTGTGAACACCTCGGCCAACTTCCTGGGGATTTCCTCATGGAAACTAACCCTGCATGGATTTTTAAATCAGCCAAGTTTGGCTGGGGCTTTGCCACCTGCTATAAATTACTCAATTACTTTAACCAGATGACACAAAGGTGTGGTGAAAAACAGTGAAACAGGAAGAAAAACATACCAAGTAATGTCTATAACATTCAAAATGTGGATTGATACAAATTACACCAAAAGAGCAGCCTTACAACTCAAAATTACTGTGACACAATGATTTACTTCATGGCATATGTTGCAGGTACAACACTGATAGCTTTAAAAAAAATCTCAGGCTGAAAGTAAATGTCTCTACACAATATGGAGAAACTCTCCCAGTCAGGATAAAACAACATTGGTTAGATGAATGATATAAGTGTAAAATTGCTCCTTATGATATAGAGATAGATGCCAGTGTGTGTAGAGGTGAAAGTGTTGAAGTTGAACAAGGAAAGCGAGGTGCACATCCCCCTTGATCATGGAACTCAGTGGACCAATCACATCTTCTCAGTCCATCCTACCTCATAGGATTGGTGTTGTGAGAAAAAGATTAGGGAGAACCTCATGTAAGCTGCCTTTAGCCATTAATGGGAAAGGCAAGATATAAATGCAAAGAAGAAGAAAGAGTATAAAACAACAGCAGTGAATAACTACTTGTTACAGTTGGAATATATACATCCAAGTTAGGCTGGGTTACAAACTCTTTTAAAGGTCCAGTGTTGTACTGAAATTATCGATAAACACTCATTGTGTTTTCTTTTGTTTTCTCACTTGATACAAACTTGTCAAAACTATAGTTTCAGTCTTTCAGATATATTTACCTTAGATGGCATATAACATAAACTACTTACAGTGGTACCTCGGGTCACGAACTTAATTCATTCCGCGACTCTGGTCGCGACCCAAATTGGTCGCGGCCCGAATCAAATTTTCCCATAAGGTTCAATGTAAATATGATTAATCCATTCTGAACCATATGTATTTTTTTTTTTT